AAGAGAACCTCTCAACAAGTCAACAACAAGTCACGACTAGTCAAAGTCTGTTAACGGAGGTCCTGACAGCACACATGAACGGAGTTATGAAATTGATAATAAAAGAAAACGTTGAGAATGGAAGCGAGAGAGAAAAAACTTTGAGTATTAAAGTTAGAATTTTGGAAAACTTGCGGGTAGTTGTCTTGGATACCAAAGATATAGACTAAACATGTATGTATGGGAACAAACCCAGCTTAGATGCATATCTCTAAATCAAACAGCTGCCAATTAATCTCTATAATTTGACCAACGTTTTTTTTGTTTTGATTCAAACATTTTTCCCTCTTTCGATCCTCGGTTGTAATCAGCTGTACTCAGCCAGCCTTACTGACTTGTGGGGTTGGCCTTTTGGGTTTTCAGCAAAGGCCGTTATTATGTCACACTGTCTGTCTTCTTCTCACCCACTTTATGATTTTAAACTTTTCAATACAAAATTTATACTCTACGATTTGACTGCCCGATAAGATTGTGGAGTTTATTTATTTGCATGTATTTGAAGATGATTGCATTCTTTTCTTGACAAAGTTAAAACTAAAATGATTCAAATGTACGGGACGGGAATCAATCTCGGGCGTACGAGAGTAGACACACTCTCTAAGATGTCGCACTGTCTGTCTTCTTCTCACCCACTTTATGATTTTAAACTTTTCAATACAAAATTTATACTCTACGATTTCACTGCCCGATAAGATTGTGGAGTTTATTTATTTGCATGTATTTGAAGATGATTGCATTCTTTTCTTGACAAAGTTAAAACTAAAATGATTCAAATGTACGGGACGGGAATCAATCTCGGGCGTACGAGAGTAGACACACTCTCTAAGACAACTGACCTAAACTCATGTCTACTTGAAGATTATTAGATGGAGTGGAACCATGTCAAAGTCCCTGGATGCATCGATTCATAAATATTAAATACAGCTAGAGCACCGCCATTTAAGATTTAACGAATAGGAAGAAAAAAAAAAGAGCATGGCCAATGGGGCCCATCCCATTTCAACAGCCATCTAGGTTTGCATGATCCATCATGTGACGGACGAAATACGCGCCAAATACATACATTGTTGCACCTCTCCCTCTCTCCCCCAGTTTGCCACCTAATTAACTCAGCTCGATTTAATGATAAATTTAATACATCTACAAAAAGTAAAAAACCAAAAAAACTAAATTGGCTTTGTTTTCTCTATTTTTCTATATAATTGAGAATTATTCATAGAAAATGGCCGTCTACTGTGCGTATTGTGCATGCCAGATAAGATAACCAAAACCCTACGATGATTTAAAATGGCCCGCACTCCAATACTATCCCTCCCTCCACATCCCAACAGCACTAATCTCACCAGGGCATCTCCGTCATTTCACAAGCATCGATCTGAAGTCCAGCCCAGCCGCAGTTCAAGTGGGCCATACATCGCTCTCCTAAGCACTCTCTTCCCGTGATAGACGGTAGATAGAATGCCGCGTGGCCCCCCCGCCCCTCCCTCCCTCTCTTCTATCATGCCCTCTTTCGCTCTCTCACTCTCTTTCTCTGTCTGTCTTCTGTCTGTCTTCCTTCTTCAAGCTCATTTGTTTCTCTGAGCTGAAGCAGTTGCACAAGCTGCAGCAGCATCAGCAAAGCACGCAAACGGCACCATGGCAGCGTTCCTCATTGTCTTCCTCACATCTCTGCTAACTCTCATCACTCTCCCCGCCGCAGAGTCGAGACTCTACAGCAACTACTACCAAAAATCGTGCCCGAGATTCAACCAAATCGTCCAAGACACCGTCACCAACAAGCAGATCACCAGCCCCACTACCGCCGCCGCCACCCTCCGCCTCTTCTTCCACGACTGCCTCCACAACGGCTGCGACGCCTCCATCCTCGTCTCCTCCACCCCCTTCAACAAGGCCGAGCGCGACGCCGACATCAACCTCTCCCTCCCCGGTGACGCCTTCGACGTCGTCGTTCGCGCCAAGACTGCCCTCGAGCTAGCCTGCCCCAACACTGTCTCCTGCGCCGACATCCTCGCCGTCGCCACCCGCGACCTCGTCACCATGATGGGCGGGCCCTACTACAACGTCCCCCTCGGCCGCCGCGACGGCCGCGTCTCCAAGGCCTCCGCCGTCGAGGGCACCCTCCCGAGGCCAGCCATGCCGGTGTCTCAGCTCATCCAGGTGTTCGGGTCCAGGGGCTTTTCCGTCCAGGAAATGGTTGCCCTCAGTGGGGCCCACACCATCGGGTTCTCCCACTGCAGCGAGTTCAGCTCTGCGATCTACAACTACAGCAAGTCGGAACAGTTCGACCCGCAGTACAACCCGAGATTCGCCGCCGGGTTGCAGCAGGCCTGCGCCGATTACCACAAGAACCCGACGATGTCGGTGTTCAACGACGTCATGACCCCCAACAAATTCGACAATGTCTACTTCCAGAACTTGCCCAAGGGTTTGGGGCTTTTGAAGTCGGATCACGCCTTGTTCAATGACCCGAGAACCCGGCCCTTCGTAGAGCTCTACGCCAAGGACCAGAACACCTTCTTTCAGGCGTTTGCGAGGGCGATGGAGAAGCTCGGCGTGCACGGGATCCAGACCGGGAGGCGAGGAGAGATTAGGCACAGATGCGATGAGTTCAATTAACTGGTTAATATTCGATTTATTCAAAATAATTATAATATAAAAAAAGGACTTTTGTTTTAATTTTCATTGTTGTTTAAGTGCATTTACATTAGCTTAAGCATTCGTGGTGAGATTTGTGAGAGGAGCTGCTGATACTATGTATACATACATGTTTAATTTTTGTATTAAGGGGATATTTATTGAGCTTAAATTAATATACTTTTCTTTTTCTTCTTCTGTGAATATTATGTGTTCAAATTTTGTTGCATTCTTGTTGGTTTTGATCTTCATGGCTCCGAGTATTGTATATTTTGTATGTTTGTTTGGGTGTCTTGGTGTTGGAAATTTCGTGGTTTAATTAGGCAACTAATGGGGAAGTTCGTCATGGGTTGTTTATTGTAGATTTGTCTTAGGAGAGTGTGTTTGTGGAAACACGATGGCAGCCAATGGCATTGGTTGAATATAACTAAAGATTATAATAATAGTATTAATGAGCAAATTAAGGCAGTGCTTTTTTAATTTTGGAAGGATCATTTATGAATCAAGGCCTGCTCAAGTTTTGAGTCAAATTTTGTCTCTTGTTTATGTCTCTACTCGACAACAAGAAGAAATTGGAGTTTGAGAAACTTGCGTTATTATTATTGAATGTGGTAACAGCTTCTCATGTCGACAGAAGGAGGAGTGAGTGAGACAGTCATGTGGGTTTCGATTATTATTGACAACAAAGATTGTCCCTTGAGGAGGAGAGAGGGTTTCATGCAGCGGGAATAGTATTTTTTGGTATCCCGACTAATAATGTAATGACACACGAGTTTTATTCATTTTATTTTCCTACTCTTATTTTGTATAGTATTAGAAATAAACTTATGAATTATAGTCCACTTAGCTTATTTGCTGAAATTCAGCTAAAGTAGGAAGACTTTTAGCTTGCACATTGCTTTTCCAATACTCTTTTCAAATATTTTTAAAATTTGTATTTAAATCAGTCTTTCCAAATATTCTCACCCCTCTTGTTCTTCCCTCTGCTTGTTTCATTGGATGTTGACACTCAAAATTCAACGGATTGAGCTGGCTCCAAGCTGCATCCAAAACCAAAAGGTTGAAGGTTGGGTCCACTGGCCCAGGAATAGCCTTAAGTTCTTGTGGTGGGTGGGTTTTGTCTCTTGGGCTTGTAAGCCTAGACTCTCCAGCCTTGGGTGATGCCCTTATGTAAGAATTCTATAGTGAGGGCACTAAATATGGCCATTGGGTGATGCCCTAATGTCTTAATTGTTTGATCAAATTGGTTAGCCGTTGGATCGAATTCCATATAGTAGAAAGATTTTTCATTTTTCATTTTTCATTTTTTTTTGGTCGGAATCAAGTTTCATTAATAGAAACGCAATGCCAATTACATGATAGTGAAACTCATAAAAATGAGTCCAAATAAAATGCAACAGTAAAAGCCCACTATAAATAAAACTCAAATAGGCATAAAGTCTACAATTGACATAAAGCTAGAGCCCAAAACTGACATAAATTTAGAGCCCAAAATTGACATAAAGCCAGAGCCAACCAAAAGCAGAAACACCACAAAACGCCAAAAGTACCGCTGTCGCTGCCTCCATGAAGACTGAGACATCGCCACCATGACTAATGATGAGTGAAAGAACTGCAAACACACCAAAACACACAAAACAATTTCAAAAACTATAAATATGAAAATCCCTCGCAATACATAAACCGACTATCAAAGACTCATTAACTCCTTCAAAAACGAAACCACCAAAACAACAAGAAGGAAACAACAACCAATCCAAGAACAAACTCGAGAAAACACTTCCCAAAGCAAAAAAAAAAGACAACATCCTAAGGAAGGTGGGAGGTGGTAACAACCCAATAATGGAAGGATGTGGTGTAAGCACCCGAGCAAGAGCTCTACACATCTTTCGAAGGGGACACGCAAAATCACATTTGGGATGCAACCCATAGGGGTCAGTAAATCCAAGAGGGAGATAGAGTCCTTGAAGAACCATATATGGAGGGAGGAATTTAAAGGGTTATGAGAAATAAAAAATAAAAAAAAAGGATGATAAAAGAGATGGAATGAAGAGGAAGATGAAAAATGGAAAATGGAAATTGAAAGGAGTATCAGGGGGAGGAAAGGAGGGGTAGTTACCGCCTCCCCTTGTTGCGTTGAAAGGTTATGAGGCTTTGAGAGAGAGTGTGCGGCGCCTCTTAAAGTTTTATGTTGGCTTACTTGCATAAAGATTAAGGATTGAAGATTCAAACAACATTGCGAGATTAAGAGCTAATTGATTATAATTCACTCTTTTATCTACACTCTTCCACCAATCCATAAACTTAGTGAAAGAAGTCATAAGTTCAAGCCGTAAATCACAAAACCCTTTCCTTAGAACTCATTCAACAATTACAAGTTCACAACAACATGACAAACAAAAGCCGAAAAAAAAAAATCCAACAATTTGCTAAATGTTTTAATCTAGTCCCGTATTTACAACTGAACAATGTTAATTATGTAATTCTCTTTAAACAACATAATGTGACCTCATAATATTTAAGGTATATTGTTTAAATTATAGGATTGAGATTGTTCAAATTGAAAACTTATGGACCAAATTAAAACACTCAAAAAATTATAATGGTAAAAACTGTACTTAAAAAAACTCCTCAAATTATGTACTCAAAATTCGGACGAGTTGACACTTGACCCGCCTAATCCACCATTGAGTTGACTCCGACTTCGACTTCCTAGCCCCGATTGGAGCAAGTCCTCCCAATCCACTTCATCTTCTTCCTCCTTCTCTTTTCCCCTCATCATCTCCAACATCCTCCTTGCTTTCTCCCTCGCCCGGTCGCTTCCCTTTTTCTCCACCTCTCTTAACACCTCAATCGCCCCGGCCACCTTGGCCAACCCCTTAAACCTCAAACCACCATAACTCAGCCCACACAATGTGGCCACACAACTCTCCTGAGTTGCCTTCGAGTCAAACTCATTTCCTCTCAAGACACCCAACAAACATTCCACCCCACCCGCATCCAACATCGACGCCCGCCCGTCCGCACAAGAACTCAAGTTGCACAATGTGAGTAGTACCCGACCCGTCATATGACCTGACTTCACCATTCTCAAAAGAATCGGAACCGACCCGAGTTTAACCAATTTGGAGCGGTTACTCTGAACGAGTGTAAGGTGATACAAAGCGAGTGCCGAGTCATGCCGAGTCCGCTCGCTCTCGGATCGGAGTAAGTGAAGCAAAGGTGGCAAGGCACCCAAAACGCCAATGGCGGTCTTACAATCGTCATCAAGCGCCAAGCTAAAGAGTGCACCGGAAGCGTGTTCCTGCGCCTCAGGGGATCCTGCCTTAAGCACATCAATCAACGGAGGGAGAACTCCTGACCGTACGATCTTAATCTTGTTTGACTTTTCCAACGACAAATTGACTAACGCTGCGACCGAGTTCACCTGAACGCCGGTGTACCTGGATACGATCAGAGGTCGCAGGGCGGAGAGCATCCGAGGGGTGCAGAGGCTGGCCCGAGTGTCCTCTCTGGTTCGCGTGATCTTCCTCAGTGAGGCCAGAGCCTCCTCGATTTCGAACACGTGTGGGCTTCTGAGCTTGATCAAGATTTCGTCGTCTTCTACGGAGACGAAGGATGAATTGCTGTTGCCCGGGTTTAGGGTTTCAATTTCGGAGGAGGAAGACGAAGGGGAAGAGTAGCAACTCGGCTGCGTCGAGAAGGGCAGAGGCGGAGTCAACACGGGCGCGGTGACCGATTCGTCGGAGCTCGAGTGGAAGTGAGTCGGACGCCGAGTCACCTCGGTGGCCGCGTGATTGAAATTCACTTTAGGGGTTTCGTTGATGCCTTGGATCAACAACTCGTTCTCCGAAATTACGAGCTTCTGGGGCTGGGTTTGGTTCTGGGACTCCATGAACGCATGGACGAGCTGATCGGCGGAGCTGAAATCGAGGGGCTTGGGAGGGTCTATGGAGGACTTGCGGCACCAGTTGAGAATGGCGGATTTGAGAGCGAGGTTGGAGATTACAGAGGAGAAATCGGGTGGGGGAGAGTCCACGAGAGTGGGTGTGAAGTTGAGGGCTTTGCAGACTTGGACGCAGGCACGCTCGAAGGTGTGGCCTGAGGAGACGATGACTGGGTCAGCCATTAGAGAACCAGAGATGGGGCAAATGAACTCTTTTGGAGCTTGGGCCTTTGCAGTTTTTGATGGCATGGCCGTTGAGGACCTGTGGAAAAGCTTCCATTTGCGCCTGGGGCTGGGACTGCTTATCTCTGTCACTCTGTCAGGGGTTTGGAAAGCCCATTCGTTTTCTTTGGCTTTGTGGATCATCAACTTCATGATAGCCTCCTGAAACTCCATGCGCGAATTGTTTGTTTGAATCTCTGAAACAAGTAAGTGAAGCCCTTCTTCTTCAGCTTTGCATATGAACGAAAGACATGAGGTTTAAGCGCATGTAAGGATGCTTGAACCCCATGATCCTGAATTGTTTTCGATAAAAGAAGCGGATTTTAAGACGCTAAAGACGAAGAGATTATATTTTCGATAAGCAGAAATATGGAGGTTGCTAAAATTGTGGAGAATTGGGAGAGAAAGGAGGCCTGAGGAGAAGAGAAGAAAAGAAAAGAAGAGAAAAGAAATGGAGATTCTTTAGATTTTTAGGTACGGCGGTGTGAATGAGAGAAAAAAGATACAATTGTTGTTGTTGTTGTGTCTGATGGAGCCTGCGAATGGGATTCTCATTCCTCTGCTTTCGGAAAATTAGCCGAACCAGAAAACAAATACTCGACCTATAATAACTCAACAGCGTGTTTTTCTCCTTCAGCTTCTCTTGAGTTGGGTGGGTTGCGTTTCAACTTTCAGGTATTTTTACCCAAGTCCTTTTCTAATCATTTTTTAACTACAATAACTGGAGACTATTGCATGCACTGTAATAGACATGCCGGAGATTCTCCAATAAGTTTTACATATTTCTAATCTTGATTGTTAGATTGCATTCATTAAATATGTTGTTAGTTTCTTAAATAAAATCCAACGATCGAGATTAGAATTATGTAACTAATCCTTAACTTAAATCCTTATTAGAGAATGTCTCTAGACATGCCTCTAATAGTATGTATGTCCAGTGACCAAATAGTGAACTATGGAATGAAAGCATTATATAGCAGTCAAAACAATTGACTAATTTCTTGCACTTCATAATAAAAAATAAACCACGGAGAAGAATATCCATGAAGTCTATTCTTTAATTTAGTACCAAGCCTAGCCAGTGACAAGCCAATCCAATTGCCCACCCATCAATTTCATTACATGGAAAAGCCCAAAAACTAAAACACTTTTCCTTTTTTAGGCTGAATCGATGGGCGCTTTTGTTCTCTGATTTCTATTAGAAAACAGAGGACGAGGTAAAACAATGGATGCTGCTCGGACTTAGATGATAATATGACAATTCTGCTATGAATAATATGTTGTTGAATTTTGGAGGATTGAACAGATGTAAATCCGTGATTCAACAGAAGCTTTGAGAAGAGATGATGATGTGGCATTTTCTGGACCATCCATCTCATAGATTAACCTTCTCACTTGGCACTTTTGCAGACAAAATACCTGCTGCTACAGCCGCTTGATCCCACCACTGAAAGTTTAAAGAAAAAGGTACTCACTCACCTCCCCACTTTATCTTTGAAAAATGTTATTTTTGAGGGCATATGTGTCCTGACTTACTTTGTTTGCATGGAGATGTCCAATTAAGTCACCACTCTCATCATTAGTGCATATACTTAATCGTTAAGTTTCTGTAGCAATTGAAATACGAACTTTTATCAGTGTCCTAGGCTGGATCATATCTTATCTCCCTTTCTTTACCAAAGTGATTGATTCCCTTTTTTCTACTCAACATATGGCCCACCCTTGACATAAACTAGCTTCCCTTTTTTTCGTCCCTTTCCTTTTGACAGGTCTAAACCAATTTCAGAAATGTTAAATCTGAACATTTTTATAAACCAAATGCAGAAATGCTTAGTTTGAAAGAGGTAGTCTTTCCATTTTCAATGGTTGGACACATCTTTCATCTTTGTTTGCATGAGGAGATCAGAGCCGTGATTTGGTTGTTGTCGATATTAATGCATATTTTTCTCAATGTTTTGCTTCCAAACTGGTTTTCTTGTGAAACACACAAGAAAAACTGATTGTTTTCTTATATGGCATCTAAGTTTGTTGGTTTTCTTTCTTCACAGAAAATGCTGAATTCAGCCTGGGTTGTATTCATAAATCACTTGCACTTTTCACGAGAGGGCCCAAGGTCAAAGAGCTTTACTTTGATTTTTTTTGTTAGTAGAATAACATCACCTGAAAAAGGCTGAATAAAATGGGCACTTTGAGTTGTGGTTGTCACTGTCAGGCATCCAATAACTTAAGCTTGCATAATTGCCTGCATTAAGTAGGACCCGCCTTTTCCACGCAGCAAATTATAACCGTGTCTTTTTGCTCTAATCTTTCTTTTTTTTTTGACATTCAATTACAGCATCCGGAGGGACCTTGGTGTTGGTGGCAGGCAGTCTACTTTGTATGTACTATATTGGACATGCAGAATGTTGATTCTTTCGCCTCTTTCTTGATATCATGCTGCATCCTGCATGCATATACATAGAATGATTATTTATACTTTATGAAAGAAAGACCTTTACAAAGTGGCATGAGCCTTTGTGTTTGCTTATAATAGTGCATGGCATCCATCCTCCATGTCTATGTGTGGTCTATTATTTTGCTATAAGCTACAAGTTATTTGTGTTGTTTGTTTGTGGAAAATTGGGTAGAGATTGCATTGATTCTAGACTTTAGAAAACATAGACATATGGTACGAATATAATTTAGTTGAGAGAAAGCAAGGGACTTTTTGTGGGGTCTTGCTCTTGGCAAGTTTGTGGAGCAGGGAATTGGATTCTCATTTCTCAGCTGGAATTTGAAAAAAAGAGAGAAAAAGGGAGCACTTTTATCCACCAATCTCCCTTTGACAAATGCCAGGACTTTGCATCATGCTTTAAACTAAATATATATAATAAATAATTGTCCTGCCGAATTCGTTCATGTTGATGCATGTTTATATAAAATCTAGAGCTAGATTTTCTCTAATTTTATGCCCTCATCTACAATAGGAATAGGATGTGCTTACTTCCAAATACTCCCACCACCACTAAAACTCATAATTTATGAACAGATGACTATGCCATTCGTGGCACCAAATCTATTTTCACAACAATGGATGGGCTTGGTTTAAGGGAGACCATGGTTTGGCTGTTTTGCTTTCGGACGGGCCTTGCTAAGTTTTGTAGGTGGGCTCTAGGTGTGGGCATCGGAGCCGCGGAACCGATGAACCGGACCGACTTGGGCTGAATTTGTTAGTCAGTGGGGCCTACCTCCTATATATTTGGTAGGATTTCGTAGGAAAATGGTTCGATAGGTGGACCCCTTTCGGTTTAGCGTGTGTGATGACGCGTACAACAAACTACAAATAAACTCGTCCGTTTATAAGGAGGAAGAAGAAGCATCTCGTGGAAACTAGGAAACATCCGCGTAGTAAATTAAAATCCTATCTGGGTTTGGCTTATGCCACAAGCCAACCCAGACCGACCACCCTCGCTCCCCTTCCCTTATAAATCAAACACAGAACAGAGGACAAGCCACCTTTGTTTATGCGTTTGTTTCGCCAAAAAAATTCGAACAACTGAAGATCAAAGATAATTCAAAGACATCAATCAAATTAAGACATGACAGGAGGAACCGAAGCTTTTCCGGATTTGGGAAGGCACTGCCAGCACTCCGATTGCCACCAGCTCGATTTCCTCCCTTTTCAATGCGACGGTTGCCATAAGGTAAACTTACCCAACAACAATTCACGTCATAAATCTTATGTGTTTATATAATTTCTGAAAATTTGGCATTTATATATATATATAATATATCTGTAGGTGTTTTGTGTTGAGCATCGGTCTTTCAAGTCCCACGAGTGCCCCAAATCTGATCACAACAGCAGAAGGGTGTTGGTCTGCGAAATCTGCTCCACCTCCATAGAAACCACCGACCGCGACGGAGAAAAAGACCAGAAGCTCTTGTTAGAGAAGCATCACAAGTCTGGAAATTGCGACCCAAGAATGAAGAAGAAACCCACGTGCCCGGTTAGGCGGTGCAAGGAGATCCTCACGTTTTCCAATACCAGCACGTGCAAAACTTGCCAGGTTAAGGTGTGCCTCAAGCACCGGTTCCCCGCCGACCATGTTTGCCGGAAGCAAACGACGCCTTCCTCATCGTTGTTGGTGGGTAATGGTGTGCGCTGGAACGAAAAGTTCATGGCTGCTTTTGCTTCAAGGAAAGGAAAAGAATGCGGGAAGAGCGAACGCGATTCCAAGTCTTCATCGACTGCGCCTTCTGTTAGAGCATATTAAGGGATAGCGTCATGGGTCGTCTGTTGTAAACGTCTGTTACTTTTTTTTAAAATGTAAAATCACAAGGAGGAGGGAGGGAATTCGAACTTGGATATGAATAATTCCAACTTGAGTTTTTATTAAACTCAATTGAAGGGAGAGGGGATTCGAACTTAAGAGATAATTTTACGATCCAGTAATCATCATAAATTTTACCAATTACAATTCATGGTTTGATCTAATTGAGAATATAATAAGCATTTTTGATCCTATTGAGAATATATACTCGTACAAAAACCAGACATTCACGTGCAATGTACAATATAACTGAAGATTAATGTGTATAATTCATACATTCATTTGCTCATGTCCTTTGTTTCTATCTATAAAATACAACAGTAAACACCTATTTTTCAAATCAACAAACACCTATGGAGGATAAATTATTCAAACTGATCAACCCCCTCTCAAACCTCAACTTCAACACAGGATTTCACTCAATTTCTTCCACTACATTTCTGACACAACAGGTGAAAGTACAAATGAAAGAAATGGCTCTTTAGATAGCAACAATGTTCTTTCCTTTTTTTCAATGGTATTTTACATTGCATCATTAGAAGTAGAGATTATGGTGGTTGCCGTTTCGTACGGGGCAAGAGAGCTAGAAGAATCTTTTTTCTTGGTCCCTGCAAATCAAGCAAGCCTTTGTGAGAAAAGTTCAATTTCATTTCCAATGAGCAGGTAGAGACAATGGATGCTAGAGGGAATGGACATATACCATTGGTATACCCAGCTCTTTGAGGTCCTTATCCCCCATCTGCTTCAAAGCAGTCATGTCAACCTGTAAATCAGATAATTAAGCATGAAAAAACACGAAGTTGAGAGAACCAAAAGAAAAAAAGAGAACCTATAAGTCACTTCTTCATTTATATTAGTATTCCTCATTGGATTAATCAGATTTCCACATTTAAAATACAGATAGTCAGTTGTGACATTCCTTTTTGTTTTGTTTTGTTTTATTTTTTTCTGGCGCTATCTCAGACATCAGATTACAATCAAATGAAGAAAAGCACACCTATATCAAAAATCACATTCCGCAATGTTTTTATAAGAATCAAGAGTGGGTAACTTACTTCTTCAGCCTGGAAAATAATGGCATATTTTCCCAAACCAAGTCTATGCAACAAGCCAGGAACAGTTGGAGGTTCATCCCCCTGTACAAATGCAAGACAAAGAGAGACAAACTCATTAAAGTCAACTGGCAATACTAAATCAGATTTCCCAAAAGGAAGCTAAAGTGTTGAATAGCCACAAAGGAGTACCATAAGTGAACTTTTCTGCATGCTGCCACTTGCTGGAGCAAATTGTGCAACTGACCTGGCAGCTTGAGGTGTAGCTTTCATTGTGAAAAGTAAGGAGTCTGTTGGCTGAGAACCACCAACCATACCATTTCTCAGGAACTGGCCAGATCTAGAGGCATCAACTGCCCTAAATGATGATGCTGGGCGCAGCTCATCAAAATTTCTTGGTGGGGATCTAGCTCTGAATCCATCCGTAGGTTGAGAAGAGTAGAAGTTCCTTCGTGAATTTACCTGGTATAAATCAGCTGAACTTTCACTGGGAGGAATTTTCATCATCACGCTACTTCCATTTGTTTCTGATTCGTGCTGCAGCATCTGATATCTCACCGATGGATGAACAGGTTTTGACAGCTTTACACGAGGGTCCATCCGCTTGCGCTCTTCAACAGCTCCACCAGTTTGCTTAAATAATCTTTTACGCAACAACTTCAATCTGAGGTCATTTCGACTGATTCGTGAATCTTCACTTGTTTTAATGGACCAGAGTCAATACAAAGAAACCGTATAAAGAACAAAAGGAGTTGGTAATATGAGATTAGATAATTTACCATGCAGTTGTTTGTCACCCCCACTCCATTTTCTACCATCTCCTCGTTGCCTGAAAATTGATATCGAACACATCATGACAGAACTAAAGACACATGCTACTGCCTCAAAAACCAATTCTCAAAATAGCATAAACACATTACTGCTATAATAAACAAATGATGATTTCTGCCAATTTTAGAAGCGCAGTTCTCCGGTTGGTTGCTAAACTAATTAAAAAAGAAAGGCAAAAATGAATATTTTTATGCTTTTCATATTATGCACCCAATTAAGGGACAAAAGACACCAGCCTGCTTCTATATTCCAATCCTTTGTGGTAAGGTTGCGATTTGACCATTCTCAAAATGAAAATGCTTCAAGAGCTAGTTTTGCAGTGGTGGTAGTTTGCACGGTAGAAGACATAAAAAAGATTTTGGGCATGGATAAGATGAGTTCATAGTAACAAAATGAAGGAACCAAACTATTGGAGAATCACATTCTCAATATAAAGTATCTGAAGAACTTCTCAAACAAGTAGTAAGCTGATAAGCCAAAGTTACAGAGATTAAAGAGACAGAGCAATGTACCGTTTGCCAGCAGAAAATGAAAGACCATGAGCATTACTCCCAAGTCTGTCTTCCATTGATCGCTTACTTCCAGAAACTAGCCCACTATAGCCATGCACTCTCGCAGAGTCTGATGCCGATCCTCCCCTCTCCACAACCTACAAAACATTTCCACTAATAAGTAAATAAAAACACACAAATCAACCCAAATTCGCCTTTAAATCGGTTCAGCCCAAGATATAGCCATTCAGCGAAGACCCACAACCCAAAAAATTCATCAAATTATCAAAGCAACCAAAAAAACAATTGGAGCATTCCACTGCACAAAAAATAGCTAAGTAATACGAGGAAATTCGAGCTCATGTCTTTTCGGAAACAGAACAAGAAAAAATAAAATTGAAACTAACAAAATAAACCTAGCTCCCTTTTGCAGCTGAATAATGTGAAAAATTATATAAAATTGAAGACAATAAGAAAAAAGAAGAAGAAACCCTTTTTCCCGTTTGTCACAGATTCAACGCAAGCAAACAACCGGTAATTGGTGCAGAAAACACAGAAAAAGTATGAAAGCAGGAAGCAAAGTACCTGACCAGAGCGACCAAGGGTGATGGTGACCCTGGGCTGCGACATGTCCGAAAGCAAAATGTGTAATTGAGGAAATTGATTTCAGAGATCTAAGAAGAAGAAGAAGATGAAAAAAAGACAAAGTAAAACCCTATCTATCCATCTCTATGTTTCGATTTGCAGAAAGGCATCCATGCGTGGCATTGCCATCTTACAGGTCAGTCCTTGTGAGGATTTCGCATGGTCAAGTCAACCTACTGGGCTGGGCCAACAGTCTACCACCTTTCAAGCCCACTTCTTTTAGAAATTACAGAATCGTATTTCAGGGCTGGGTCAATGGCCAAGTCGATGACCAAATGATCTCAGGTTCGAATCCTATGGCGCGCATGGCACGTTAGCAGTGTGTGTGAAAAAACTCCTTTCTTAATATCGCTTGTAATTTTTTCTTTTAAAAGTCCATGTCAATGAAAGCAAATGTGTCTAAACCAATTATAAAAAAAATTAAGAGACAGATTTGTTATTTACAATTTATAAAAGTTTCTTTTAAGCTTTGCATAGACTTATCCTTTTCTCCTTTTTTTATTGGTACAGAAGACGATATTGAAAGCAACCTCACATTTCCGGAATCGATGACCAATGGGTTTTGTCCAAGTGTGTCATGAACTTATCCAAAATATATCATTGAAATGTCGGTTGACACAAAAATTGGTGATCAATTAAAATTACATCAATGTTGGAGCTATGAGAATATGACAAGTCCAAGGGATAGTTTCATACTAGAACAAAGATCAGATATTCAAAAGATGAGCTTTTCTTATTAATCGTTTTATTAGTTCTTGAACTTAGACTCGATTTGCATTTGAGTCTCTCAATTTCTAAAATCGTTTTTATGGTCTTCAACTTCAATTTCATTAGAACAAATAGTCATGTTGTCAATTTTGTTAACTTTTATGTTAAATGCAGGGACAAAATGGTATTTTTGTATCAAAATTGATTAAAATATGAATAAAAAATTAAAAAACTAAAAAATTAAAATTAAACTCTCTCTCCCCCTCTATCTCGACTTCTACTACCCCAAACTTGATTTTTCCTTTTTTTTTGTTGGTTTTTTATTTGATTTGATTTTATTGTTATTTTAAATATATGAATTTTTATTATTTTTTTGTTTTTAATATAAAAATACCATTTTGCCCCCTACATTTAACTGAAAAAGTTAACAAAATTGACGGCATGACCATTTGTCCTAACGAAAGTGAAGTTAAAGGACCACATGAACGATTTTGGAAATTGAGGGACTCAAATGCAAATCGGGTCTAAGTTCAAAGACTAATAAAACGATTAACCCAATTTTTTTTTTCCTTTCACAAATACAGAAGTGGACTGTTTACACATACTTTTCAATACACACTAAAGCTTATTACATGTTTGCTGTTGATTCTCTGATCTCTTCCAAGGAGATGGTCTGCATTGCACAAGAGTTGTAGGGAAAACAAATTAGACTATAAAAATAACATGCAAGAACAGGAAGTACATAAGATTTCTCAAACCGCATTACGTAAAAGCTATTGTTTAGATTATCCCAACAAACTACAATTGATGAGCTAAAAGAAGAGTGCATAAGTTACCTGTTCCGGTCCAGCAAAATCATTGTCAGGAGTGAGAAAGAGCATGCAGTGGCACTCCTTCCTGCCAACACAATCTTACGGTTTTAAAATGATCCGGGTTTACATATACTTGAACTATTTGCATATAATGCTGGTTTGCAATAGTTCAGATGTCAAAGTTAAAATGAAATAAGCTTGAGATTCTTTAGCTGGATTTGAGCAGAATATTCGGATTAAGTACACATATACCCAACTTCAACAACAAAGAACAGTTTTTTGGCATTCCTAGGGTCATCTGGTTCCAACTTGCAACAAAACTATCTGCGCTTTAATGGAAATATCTGAACAGCATTTGTTCCTTACTATATTTTTATCCAGTAAGCAAATCTAACATGAACTCTATAGCCCATTTATCTTTGATTTCAATGTCTGAGTACCAAAATAATGAAATGGAAACTCTAATAAAATAACCTGATTGGTATACTACTTTCACAAAATAATGAAATGATATTTACCTCTCTCTCATAGGAACACATGGGCAGTTCCAAAAGCCTTGGCCAGCCTCGGCAGGTTTGTCATCATAATGCCTGCGACAAAATGAGGTCAGACTTGGAAAGCATGACATGATATGAACACGAAGCGATTTTGACACTAAGAACTGGTACGGAGTTTGAGGCATAGGACAGAGTAGGAACATCCTAGTGAAGAACAATATCAAAGAACAGATGTTTACCGACAAGGGCAGAGTGGCGCTCCCAATGAATCTTTATGGTCTGCCAATCCCTGTTGAAATTGAAAGATCAGTTCAATTTACTTGGATAAATACACTTCAATCAAATGCAGAGATTAAAATGAAGGACCCAAGTATATATATATAATATCAGGATTCCAAATCCGTAAGGGATCTTTTTGTCCCAAATCAAACTTCTCTTGTGACATAAAAGAACATGAACTACAACAGAAAGATATTGAACTGAAGAACTATGCCTATGGGGATCATTTTGAGGGAATAGTTTAAAGATGTTTCATAATCTATAGGATCAAAGGGCTCGGGGTAATATGTTCTTTACGGTTCTAATCCATGGTGGAAGCTTATAAAGTTATCGGTTTTGAAGTAAATTTGAAGTATAGAATGCTACACAAGTAAGGTCCAATGAGTAAATAAATACATACCTTGATAACAACAGAAGTCACTCCCTTATCCACGCAGAAGTATGTTCCAGACTTGCGAGCATACTGCTCAGAGAACTTCCTCATAATTTCAACAGACTTCTCTGATGGTTCCGCTGCCAGAACACAAAATTCATAGCATACATTAATCCAAAGTTCACATTTTAAAAACGAAAACACTATCAAAAGGGGGATGAAGATGCTTTGAAATGAAATGACACATATGACATCCTAATTTAAGCTGAAAATGTTCAAAATTTCCGGCCCCAAAAGCTCAAGTCTACTAATCAAGCAAGGTTTTTAATTTGGCATTGCATATATCACATTTTAAAGGTTTAAAACACTTGTAAAGAATCACTTAGAGCAACGCAAGCTTTCAGAAGCTCGAATATATTACATAAATACCAGGCAAGAACGTCAAATTGGGGCTACAATAATCTGAAAACCCACTAATTAAAAATGATAATACAACGAAAATATGAAAGAAAAAAAGAAGGGAAAAAAAAAGATGTTTCAGAATTGCGAACCTTGAGCTCGGATTACATGGCGGTGGGTGGAGCGTCTGAGAGGAGAAACGAAGGAGGAAATGCTGACGCCGAAGGACGGAGCTTGGAGTTGCAGAGTCATGGCCTGAGAGCGAGTGCGGAAGAGAGAACTGGTGTGTGAAATTAATAATTATTGGCCGTAATAATCTGTTTGTTTATATAATTTTGGGGGATTTAATTTGGATATTTTGGAATTTTATGAGATGGGTTTGGGAATTGGCATTGAATTGAATGAAGTTGAAGCAAAGCTGTGCCCGCCACTCGTTCGTTGTGAATATCGGTTAAGGAAAGACACCAACCACTCGGTCCGCTACCAATGAATCCATCTCTCCCTCCCTCCTTACTTATTAAAAGGCCTTGGGCCTGTTTTTGTCTAATCAGCCCAACCCATCCACGTATAGACCAAATTTTGACCCATATGATTTTTCTTTTCTTTTCAAATTGACCCAAATAATTGATTACAATCTTTATCTAAGCTTGATTTCCAGGTTGCTTGATTATGATGAATCCTATATAATTGAACCCCATTTGGTTTGCTTCAAATTTCAGGTTCAACTAGTGGAGGTTTTGATTGTAGTCCTCAAACCTAGTTAGTTTGTTCGAATTTGATCGGATTGAACTCTTCAACTTTAGCATACGAGTTAAGTGTGTTGAATTGCATATGTGGGTTATGTGAGCTAAGCAGATAGTGTGGATCGCCCCTTTATAGTCGAATTGGAATCCCCATTTCTCTAGGTTAGAGTAGTTTTTTTTTTGTCATTCGACAAAGAGGGGAGGAGGAAGTATTATATTTGGGTACCTGAAGAGTGTCTCCTACGTGAATCGAACTCGATTGCACTTGACAGGAGGGAGAGAATTTGGCTCACTTTTCCATTGCGGTGCCACCCCATGTGTAGGTTAGAGTAGTTTAGACTCTCGCTTTATAGAAAAAGTTAAATATAATGTAGGCTCTATGTATATTTATAGATGGTGGATATCTTCTTAGTCGAAAAGTAGGAATGGTAATGATTCAGGGCCAAGCCAAAGATTAATAAATGAGGACCTAGCTATGAGTCTAGCATGATGCGTGACGGATTAGTTTGTGAACACATATTAGATTACTTGAATATCTATTTGTATTATGAATTCATGAGAAACGTAGAGACATATCCATATCATCTGCACTGCACTGTCTGAAATGAACTCTGAATCATGCATGCCGCCTTTAATTATTAAGATTCTGCACTATCATATCGCGAGATTGACAGCCTAATAAAAATGTCTTGCATTAATCAGCATCGAGTAGGTAGACTAGTAGCTATAGCCAGAAAGTACTTAACTAGGGCAAGACCGTTGATCGAGAAGAACAATATAAAAAATTGGCTCCACCACAAGCACTAGCTAGGGCAAAGGCCTAATTTCATGTGTGTGTGTGTTTGTGTAAATATGCAGCTTAATTACTTATCTGTACTGTCAAAAATAGGTGGAAAAAAGGTCATCAACTCAAACTTTTCAGTTTTCACAGAGAGAACTCAAAACATTTCAGTTTTCACAGCAAGAACTCAAAACTTTTCAGTTTTCACTGCAAGAACTCAAACTAGCTAATCAGCTCCCCCAATGGGTCATGGGAATTATGTACTCCAATCTCCATCATCTGTATATGGTAAAGCCCACATCATACAGACAAAATGTACCCAACATCATACGTATAATTTGGCAAAACTCTCAGCTGCAATAGGTGGACTGAAGAACACAAGTAATTATTATCTATTTTCCCAGTCTCAATACATGTACTTTGCACAGAATCCCACTGGAGAAAGATCTCATTGACAAAATGAACAATTATGACATAGCATTGCTAAGCTGAACACGTATATTAAATTAAATTAGTTTCTTTTTGCTACAAATTAAGAGCAAATATATATATACACTTCCATTTTGAAAATACTTTGAGCTATGCTAATCAACCAATTAAAAATACGGTCCAAATATATATATATATACAGACCTCAAATTACAAAGTTACATGTATATATGGTGAAAGGGTAATGTATTGATCTTTTTTAATTCACATATATGAAAATCCCTTTGTACGAACCCTAACACAGATCCTGTAGATCTAAACTGGAAAAGGAAAATCAAGTAGAACCAGTACTTCACATATATAATCTAGAATCGATTTCTTCAGCAGTTACAAGTACAACACAAACAATAGTTCTGATAATTTAAACAAGATAATCCATACACACACACACACACACACACTCGGAGAACAAAAGAGTTTCTTACCAAATATAGTGACTTGAGTCTAACATAAACTATAACAACAAAACCAGGAAAGACAGAGCCTTTATGTAGCTAACAAGATCTAAAGTGTACATGAAATAAATCTAAGGAACAAGTTGCCAAACCAAAAGAAGTTGAAAATTTGAGATTTGCTTTGATTCAACACTAGCAAATCGTCGTCGGACCAAGATGCTTGATTCCCCCAAAGCGCAAAGACTTGCAATAACTCTTTGAACTTTATTAAGGAGAGAGATCGAGATTCTTCACTCGCAACCAAGGAGAGCGAGAAAGCTAGCTGATTAGCTATAGCTAAGCTAAGCTAGGGTTGTCTTTCTGCTGGGCGCTTGAAAATCATGGTGATAAAATTTTCTTTTCGTTGGGTCGCTTCTTTTTCTTCTTCTTCTTCTTTGGTGGTGATATTAATGAGAATAATGACACTTTGGGTGTGGGTTTTGTGGGGTGGTTGGAGTTGGAGGTGATGAAGCAGCAGCAGAGGGTGGTGTGGGAGCAATGATGGTGAAAAAGAAGGTAAGAGGAGGACATGATGATTGCTGTTGGGCTCTGGCGTTGAAAGAAAGGCAAAGCCTAAATATCTAGGTTTTTTGTGCCCCTCTCTTTCTCTTTCTTTCTCTCTGACATGTTAGAAAGAGAGAGAGAGAGAGAGAGAGAGTGCGTGTGACGGTGTGAGTGATGATGACATTCATTCATGAAGCCCAACACTCCACAATAAAATAGGGTTTTGAGGCAGACAGACATGGCTAGCCTCATCTGAAAACTCCCATTTTTATCTCTTTAATTTGGGGCCACTCCACAACTACTAACTCATAATGCAGCTTTATTATCCAAAATAAATATATCTTAACAAATAGACTAGATTTTGGCAAAGTATAATTTGCTTAGGTAACCTCATGAGCTCTAGCCCCCAAATACTATTATAATAAAATGAAAAAGTGATAAGTTTCTAGTTCCAAAAAGTGAATTTGAAAAAAGCTTGATTTTGCACAAAATAATGATAGGTAATGCTTGGTTAATGTGTTAATGTTGAGATTTGGATTTAATTATAAAGCACAAAGTTCTTGAGTAGCTACTACTCGCACCGCCATGAAATGTATGTGATCAGATTGTTCTTCACATTATAATTTTCACATGGTCAATGTTGAAAAATCTGTTTATTAATAATGCGATGGAGACAATCCGACCAACAAAAAAAAGTGATTGAGACACAAATGAAATTTTGAAAAATATACAGAATATTTAGAAGATGAAAACGTTTTGAGCTCAATATTTCATGCGTACAAATTAATTATTTTTTAAAAACTTTTAAAAATAAATTATTTGTACAAGGGAAGTTGAAGAATGAGGGAGATGCTCGAATTATAGAACTTAAAATGAAGTTAAGAGCGGATGTGCTCCTTACTCTGTATCCGAGTCAAATTCCCCTTCTTGTAGTTTAAATTAGTTTAAAGTTGATTATCGGTTGTATTTTTTACCACTAGAGAGTTAGAAAAGAGAAAGTTGAACAACAGAACATGGAAATGGAATCTATAGTTTCCAGAATTGGATTGGATCCCAGCAGCAGCAGCAGGGTAGCATATTCGGCCAAATTTGAGTGTCTTCCCCACCTGGATATCATATTCAGGCTAAACTAAAAGCTAAAATGCAAAAGTTGAAAAATCCAGTTTAAAGAGAAAGTTGGTTTAGGGTACCCAGTTGATTATCGGTTGTATTTTTTACCACTAGAGAGTTAGAAAAGAGAAAGTTGAACAACAGAACATGGAAATGGAATCTATAGTTTCCAGAATTGGATTGGATCCCAGCAGCAGCAGCAGGGTAGCATATTCGGCCAAATTTGAGTGTCTTCCCCACCTGGATATCATATTCAGGCTAAACTAAAAGCTAAAATGCAAAAGTTGAAAAATCCAGTTTAAAAACGAATCAAATAATCTTCGATTGTTCTGGACCTTAGGTTAGCATTTGAAGCCACTTAACTTTGACTGGTTACTGGTGTTTGCCTACCCACCACGATTACATTTACATAGGTAATTCGTTTTTACCTCTTCCAAGCAAATGTGTAATGGAGATTAGGCAATTATATATATATATATATATATATATATATATATATATATATATATATATATATATATATATATATATATTTTAAAAAAGGGTTAGAACATTCTACAACGACGACAAAAGAACAAAACGCATGTTTCGGCAATGGTGGGCCCTGTAGGGTTATGTCGGTCCAAATAAAGGGTGAGGGGTCCACACGAGCGAAATTAGATGAGCAGTCCTTGTCGTATAGTAACTCCAGGGATGATGAAATCAGGAGTTTTTAGCTTCTGAGTCCTCCATGTGCTATTTAGCTTAACTAGAGTACAAGCTAGCATTTACAACACCTTTACGTTCACCTTTTTCGTTCTCTCTTTGTTCCTTTCTTTTTTCATGTAAGTTTACAATTGTTTCCAAAAATTCACAGATACAGAGGGTGGATTCTGAATTTACAATTTGATTTGATTAAACCAGCTCTTTGCATTTCCTTTCCGGCCATTGGATTTGGATGTCAACATAGTGCGTGCATTCTCTCTTCTTGCAGCAAACAATCAATCAATCTATATACAAAGGGTACCATCCATCAATTTACCATTCCAAAGATTTCATCTCCACAATTCCTGGATTTTGAGATACCAAAAGAGGAGCTTCCGGATATTTTCACACTTTTGGATGATCATCACATCAATCTGTGTGCATGCTTCCTTTCTACAGTAGACACTGATCAAGGGAAAAGATGATACCGGTGGTACCTTGTGGCGCAAGCTCAGATTCCAACCTGAGCTGTTTGCGTTGCATCTTCGTTTCCGGGAGATTTAAAACCACACTCAAGTCTTATTGCTGCCAGTAGTTCAGGAGACACAGCACCCTGTGTAGAAACCTTCTTCCCCGTGTTGCTTGCTTTCCTATCATTATCTCCTGCAGCACCCCAACCCCTGTAAAGTATAACTTTGCTAGGCTCCT